GAGTGTTAATGAAAAAAAAACCACCAGCAATTAGGGTGCATTAGGTTTTTGCACTGCAGTTGTTTCTAGCAATGAGAAGGAACTTATCTGTTTTGGTCATGGTTCTGTATGTTTCTGGCAAGTCAAAATGCACCCAACTGTAAAGCCTAGGAGGAGGCTAACAAAACCTGTGTGAAATGAGGTGAGTTTTTTGCCTTTCTTCTTGTCGTTGTTTTGCAAGAGAGTTTACAGTCCTGAGTAAATAGCTTTATGCTCTGGGTGTTTTTCAAAAAACTATGCATAATGATCGTTTTTATACACCGATCAAAATTGTTTGCTTTCTGAAATAGTTATCAGAGCTCAAAAATCAAAATTACGGGTAAATTCAAGACAGCCGATTACAGGAGAAGTGTAACATTAGATTAGCCATGACTAGCTCTAGAACTTTGTTGCATGTTGGATATTGTCCAAAAAAAAAAGCAGGACACGTTTCCCTTCTAAGCTTTTAAGGCATGTTGTTACTATTATTAACGTTTAATGTTACAGTAAATCCTACATCCTGCCACGTTCAAGTATGCACACACTGTCTGTAGTTTACTATGTGTAAGAAGTTCCTGACCTTGGAACACACAAAATATCAGCATTTAATAATGTCTAAAGAAAGATCTATATTAGAAAGGGATTCACAGGGATCTGTTCTTGTAATTTTAACTAGTTCTAATCCAAAGAGAATACTTGCAAAATGCAGTTTTATCTTCCTGTTGATAGCACAACCCTTGCTCGGGGAAACCAGTGTGACTACGTATGGGAGGGAAGCGCTATGTAGTATGGCCTTTACAGTGCCACTCTGCATTTAGCTTCAGTGGGAGGGAGAGGAGGGTCCCTTTGGGGTTGGCTCAGCAATGCTCCCAGCACGGCTGGAGCTCATGGCAGCTGGAGGCACTTCTACTCCCAAAACTTGCATCCCCAAGAGCGCTGCTGTTCGTCTGCATCTTGTATGAATGCTCACTGTTAGCACCATTTCTTAAGTAAACAGAGCACATACAAATGTGAATCTGTGGGTGTGTTAGAATACACACATGATAGCAAACTAGTAATTAAGATTACATAATATAACTACTTCTGCCATTAAAAATCCAGAAATAAGGAACTTTTTATCAAAGTATTTTCTTATTCAATCTAGCTTGCAATAAGAGTACTAGGTCAGAGATGGTGATGAAGAACGCATCTGCTATTTGTCAATGGAATAAACCAGTATAAAATCAAATTGATACAATTAGAAAGAAATGTTAGAGCAGTCTCACCACAGGGTTTTCTGGTGTATGCAGCAGTTCAACATCCTACAACAAAACAAATCTACGTTAGAAAAGTTTAACGTTTGAAAGTGATGTCCCTCACAAGACATATTCTAAGCAATACATGATACTTGAAAATAATTTCAATATTATGACAAATACTTTGCTTACCTTATCTTTCACTGTGGTTTCTAGCCGTGTAATTGTCTTGAAAAGTTGTTTGTATGTTGCTATTTTGTGTGGAGCTGCAGTCATTGCCATACTGGAACAGAAGAAAAGCATGCAGAAAATAAGCATCCTCTCCATACTGATGAGTTTTGTCTTAAGATGTGCCAGGAGCAAAGTTGTGCTATTCAAGATGAACACTTCAGTTTGCGCTGTGCTCAGGTATGCTACTCACCTACCTATATATTGCTCCTTGCTGGAGATGTAAAACCCACCCATTTCAGTTTGGAAAGCTTTGTAGAATGGATTAATGAGTAACCCTTTTTTCTTTTCCACTGGCTAGGTGCATGTATGCGAGTTTGTGCGTAGGGGGCAGGGATTGATGGAGTGAGTGAAAATATGCCCCATCTGCACATTGGGCAGGAAAAAAAGAGAAAAGGGTGAATTCCCATTTTCACTTTGAGTCAAGAAATGAACGTAGTAAGAATTAGGTACTTGGAAACCACAGACGTAGGTAAACAAAGACTCTGCATTTTTTCCCTTTTTCTCACAGCAGTGAGTCTGTCCCATCCATCTGAAGCTCTTCTGTACCATGCTGGAGAAATATGTCAGGACTTCTTTTCAGAACTTAAGTGTATTTATCCTACTTACTATATGGCTCCAAGGGATGTTTGTTAGTTAGTTCCCCCTGATGTCTGTGAACTGCCCTTTCTACATTTTTAGCTTGGTATCTATGGCAGCTTTGAGTAGAAGCTCATCTTAGCATTTAAACCAGCTGGACTTTGCTTTATATTTACTTGGAACCAGTACCAGATATTTTAACAGCATCATAGAGAGTATGGGGTGAAACTGTCACTGGGGGTGAAAGTTGCAGGCAGATGCATTGCCCTGGGAAGGTGGATCCCTGTACCATGCCTGTTCCCTAGATGGGAGCAATACTGGAAGATGAAGGACTAAATCCTGGTGAGTCCCAAAGGACACTACCACTTTGCAGTGGTTGTCCAATGCTCGTGGCAGCTAAACACATTTAATTGCATTCTGCAGCAGCTAGGCTTGAGGTTAGTTTCGCAATTTAATGCAACCCCCTTCAAAGGAAATGTGATACTGAGACCCGAGAATTCTCTTGAGAATGTAGAAGTGCATTTATTTTGTGTGAAATCCAAACAAAAGTGCATACTTCAAAAAACGTACAGCCAGAATAAAACGAACGGAATGATCTGATTTAAGAAATAAGGCAAACTCTTGTCATTCCCTTCAAAATCAATGCCTGTTGTCATTAAGTATATATGCTGCTTTTGAGGAAATTTATTTAATATTTAAAAGTTGTGCATTAGCAAAGGAAATTTTTTCCAGCAAATGGTGGTAAGGAAGGTTCTCTTGTGGGGACTTCCACAGGTATTTTCTTTCTAAACGACTACCACTGAAGTTAAAGATATTTGAAGTTGTTTTTCTGGAGTATACTTTTTTATATTAGTTGCCTTCAGCTCAAGCCTGGTTTTTGTCACTCTCACTGAGCTGCGCTGTTCTCAGTAAGGCTCTCTGCAGGCACTAGGGACTTACTGGACTGCCAGCTCTGGGAATCAATTGATTTTAAAATCACTGTTCCTAATATTTCATCACAATGAGGAAAAAAAAAGACTTTAAATGGCTCTTATGTATTATCATTAATAAATGGTTATCAACACTGTGGTGTTACCATTAAAAGGTTCCTGTGTGGAATTAGCAGAGGGCAGTTAAAGTCACTTGGAGACCTTCGCTATGGTGAATAAAAAGATGCTCAAAAGTCTTTCAGATTAAATCTCTGCCTCTGGAAGTGTGAAGATTTCAGGCAGCTTTGGAGGTGCTTTATGCAATCTACACGGTGTTTTCAGCTCAGTTTGGGGCCTGTAGTGCTAGTCTGTGCAATATGCTGACATCATACAAAACGGACTTGTATTACGTTTCTGGCTGATGAGTGAATCTGGGCAATCAAATTGGATCACTTATTTCTCATTGTCCATTTCAAAATGAGCATGTAAGCTGATGAGAGCTCTATCTGGCATACTCAAGCCTGTTTGTTTTCTGTATATGAATGATTATTTACTGTATGCTGTTTATGTGCTTAAGTAATTTTTAATCTTTCAGAAACTGGATAGCTTAACGGAATAGATTTTACAGGTGTATGTGCAGGTACACATAATGCACTCACCTGTCATGAATGCACATACAAAATCTCTCCTGGTGAAAGGGATAGCTAATCGCACCTGATAGAACAGAAATCCTGAAAAATAAGAACTAAAGAAGTAAGAAAAAGAATACTTTTTTCTATCGTATAGTCTAAAACTTAATTTCTTGAAGAAAAGGTAGTGTGATCTTTTTTATTATTACTATTTCTTTTGATAGACATGTCTTGAAATAATTTTAGATAAGCAGCAGAGCTGGACTGTGAAGTAGAGGATATCTCAATGGGTTTTATTCAGGAGTTGTGTTAATTTGTAGCTAAGATTCATGAATGGAAATCAGCAGCATCTTTTGTTAGAGAAACCATATGGTGGCCAATCCTTATGTTTATCTCCTTATCTCATTCATGTGAAACTTTGCAAAAAATTTTCTTATTTGTTGTTCAACACCTCTGTGAGGCTGCTGAGAGGATGGAGAGGTTATTTCTGGTGGTGGTATTCCTTATATGAAGCTCCTCTTTACCGTAACTGAACCTTCATCTTCTCTGTAGGTTATTGACTAGTAACTTGGATGAACATGCATTGTATTCTCAGTCCAGTTTTTTACTATGCTGTTGGAAGTGTTGATAGTCAAAGAGCAGACTGGTGGTGATGTGTACTTCTGCTTTTTATTGTCAGTATTTCAACTGTGAATTCTTTAGAGAAGCTCCTTTGAGCTCTGCTACTGTAGGTGATGGTGCTAGCCCTGTCAGCCTTTATTTTATGCATCTTTATTTGGTTGATAGGTTGGAAGCTTTCCACTTTGATGTGGAGTACGACTCTGTTAGCTTTGTCCTTATTAGGTGGTTGGTAGTTATTCATGCAAAGATACCACTGCAAATTGTTTGCATTGACCAGACAACTTCAAGAACTTCAGTTAAAGCACAGTGTGACTGTCCATGTAGTTTCAGAAATGCAGGGCTTGGAGGGACAACACAGAGGGCATTGGCTTCTGTCATCATACAGCCACATTGTACAGTGGCTTTAATATTGTATCATGTCAACTAGAAACGCTTTACGTATTACAGACTAACATTGCATTTTTCTTTGTCCTTGGTGATTTGTTAGACAGGAGTAAAGCTTAACAGCGTTCTGAATATAGCTGTGTCTCTGGGAGTCATTTCCAGGTACTGGTTCTGGCCTACATGGCCACACATACTGAGACCCTACAGCTCCATAGTAGAATCATACCTGTGTAGCTAACAACCATTTTAATTTTCATCTTTTGTTTTTTTCATAAACTTGTAATAATTACAGATCTCACGCAGTGACCAGGTGTTAAAACAGTGCTGCTTCTGGAGATAAAATCCAATAACAAAAGAGTGAGATAATCATAAGGCTCTGCATGCTGCTAGCCTGGGCAGTCCTGAGATCCTGTCGCTTTAGGAAATAAAGAAATTATAATGGTGGACAAGGGCAGCTTTAGACCCATTGAACCAAGCTCAAGCCTGATGAGCACTGTTGTGAGGAATTTGAGTCATCACAAGCTTCATATTTGAGCAAAGCTGTTATGTTAGGCTGTGGTTATCCCTTCATGTGTAGGTTTACTTAACAATCTTACAAACTGAGTCCAAGTGGGAGAGCCCTGCTGATGGCTGGCTCTCTTATGCGTGCTGTTTGTGGTCCTGGCAAAACAAACCTTGTACAGCACTGCACTGCATAAGGCAGTTTATGAAATTAGAGGAGATAAAGAGTTCTTCATGTGAAAGGCTGATTGCGGTGAAGACCACTGCCTATTTTACAGCGAAACCTACTGTGTGAAAGAATGGCTGTACAATAGTACCAAAGACTTTGGGCGAGAAACAGTAAGTGAAGCGTTGTCACTTTCTACCAGAAGCATCACAGAAATATGGCAGACTTTATTCATTTGTGGATCTAGTAGGATAATTCATGGGTTTGGTGGAGGTTTACCTCCACCAAATTCACAGGAAGTGAGATGGCTCTACCTGAGATATTCCTAAATTAAATCTGTTATATTTTAAATCAGTTTTAAAGGTGGTGGAGTAATTAGAATGGGAAGCTAAACAATAGGTATTTGGCAATGTGGTAACAGATGGTTGCATATCATGTCTCTAAAACTGTACAGTCTTCTATTTTGTGTTAGAGGCTATAAGGTCACAATAATTGCTTGAAGAAAGGCACACTGACAGAGAAAGTGAAATATAAGGACAAAGAAGAACTTCCTTTATGTCTAGGCAGTGGAGAAAACTCCTTGATATCCCTCTTATCAGATAAGAGTGAGCAACATGCTTTTTATATACGTCACTTCTCTTTTGCGGCTTAGGAACATGCTGAGTCAAATAATGACACTCTCTCTTGTACCATCGCCTGCCCGGCCCCAGAGGGACGCTGCAGAGTGGAAATCTGAAAAACCTCCCATCCCAGAGGCTGAGTCTTCCTCTTTCCTCTTTGCGACAGTGCCACTCAAGTGCTGAATGACTTCGACCCTGAAAGCCCAGTTCCCCCACCCACATTTTCCTTTACAGTGTATCTGAATGGAGGCTTTTCCCATAGCTTAGTCATTGCTATGGCTCAGCCAGAAAAGCCTGTAGTGTTACAAGGCTGCTTTCAAAGAATTTTTATAACTTGTGTACGTGAAATTTTATGTGTATACTATCTGCAACTCGGAGGGAGGCAGGACATTGTAGGAAAGCAAGAGGAGAGAGTTATGCTGGAAAATGAGAGACTAAGAAGAAGACTCCTGTATAACAGATTTAGGAAAACTAGTCTTTAAAATATTTCTGACAGATTTCTGACAGCTTTGGAAGTTAGTGCCACCCTCTTTCAATCTCATTTTCTTACTGTAAGCTTCGGAATAATTCTTCTGTCTTCTAACCTTTTTTTGAAAAGAGAAAATCAAACCCGGGAAAAAAATCTATTCCTAAATTGTAGTTGTATTAGCTACAGAATCAGAGTAAATACAACTCTGAATGTGGTGACACA